AGCGCTCTTATTTTAGGACGGAGTACAGTTGATTAGAATTAGCAGTAATTAGAGTTAGAAGTACATTTGATTAGGATTCTTCCAGTCCTCTACAATTCCATAGAAACCTTTAACCCCAGCCCACAGAAATTATTCCTGAATTAAAATAAAGAGGGAGGATACCAGACAGACCAAAGGGGGAGAATGGCTCAGCCCTCCACATCAAGATGGAAAAATGAAATCAAACAGGAAGGGAATTGCTCTTCTGTTACAGTCAGACTGTGTTCTCTTCCAGATCCATTAGTGCTAACTGGGGATGTTACTGTGCCCAGCTCTTTGGACTACCCACTGCCCTACAGGTCTGGCAGAGGAGTTGCTCGGGCGAAATCATCTAGGATATAACCCTAGGTTGAACAGGAGGTTTGAGTTAATCTGGCTGACTTTTGCCTGAGTGTGCACACCTACGGGCTGCACACAAAATGTCAGGAGTGAGTAGTGATTGATGACCAGCAGCTGTGGATAATACCATCTTCAGATGGCACGGTTGGGTCTGGAAGAGGACATCCGTTTGCAGCCTCTAGCTGTATTCTGGCAAAACAGCTATCGATGGGACACTTTCAGGATTGTTAACAAAGAAGAAAATTTAAGTTTGGGAGTTTTGTTTACAGCAACAAAACCTCCTCTCCTAGTTATAGATCAGTTATAATAATTGGTATGTCATATCAGTTAAGGTATAAACAGTACCAGACCCACACTTTGAATATCACCGTTGTATTTCTCCCGTGCATTCGTGACTTCATGTTTACATGGTTTTGTGAATCAGACCAATACAGAGAACACCCATAAGCCTGAGTGACATAGTTGATGCAGTTTGTAGTATCCTATACCTGAAATAGAGTGTATTAGTTTTATTACTGCAAAATGGACTGCAACAATGTCCTAAATTTTTAATAAGTAAATAATTTCTTTGACACACACATACACACACACACACACACACACCCAACAAAATGCACAGCTGTTGATTTCAGAGAATTTACTATTATCCACTCTTCTGAAATACCAGAAGAATGTAGCAGGATTAATACAGATTAGGGAGTGCATTATGATTGTGAGGTGAGATAGACTGTTCTGCTGGTATTCCTCTGGATAAAAACAGCTATAATCTAGTTTTTCATGTAAATAGTATAGTTAAAAATATTAACTGTCGTAATATCAGAGCATAAACTCAGAAATTATAGGCATTGGGCAATTCATTTGTTGGCGTTGCTATGACATTCATCATCATATTAAATACTTTTCATTTTAGTTACCATAGACTTAAAAGAATTGACTGATTGGAAGAGAAATACAATGATTATGCTGTATATTATAGAAGTGATATCATATGGTGTAATTTTCTACAAGCCTTTATTGATATACTAACAAAATAAATTAAAATAATTCTATTTAAATTCCATGATGTAGAAATCTTAGAATCAAAGTCCAGGTTTCTGATTTTGAATGAGCTGCCTTGGTATGGAAGTTGCATATATAAAACCTGCCTCTTGCTGGCCATTGACATCACCTCTATATGTGTAAATAATTCCTTGTGAAACAACTGACATTTTAAGTGTTGCTAGTCTATTTCTATTGTTTGTAATTCTTTCTCCTTGGGGTTAATATTATTTTTTTAAGTCAACAATGGAAACTCCTGAAAGAATGAATTACATTGGCCTATCCAGTCAGCAGTTATATAGGGATATCATTAACCTGCTGTCCTTTCTTTCCCCCTCCTCTTTGGTTTTGTTTTTTTGTTTTGTGGTAGTCTGACCCTTGGTTATCATTGCAGAACTATGGAGGTGCAATGAGACCCCCACTGAATGCTTTAGGTGGCCCGGGGATGCCTGGAATGAACATGTAAGCACAATAATAAAATCTTACAATATTTAGAAGAATCATTATTTCATTGTAGAAGTAACATTTGGGATACGTAAGACAAGGAGAACATGCTTCGATAAGTAACATGCTTTGTTGACCAGTAACTGCAATTTTGAAAAGTGAACCCACAGCAGTTTCCCTCTGCATGCATCTCTTAGAGCTGCCTTTCCTGTCCCTCTAAGTCTGTACAAATATTCAGGTTCTTTCACAGGTCAAAGTTCATATATTGGGAATATTTTCTCAGTATAGTCATAGATATATCCTTGCATGCATTTTTTTAAAAATTACATTATTTGCATTTATGTTTTTACTGATTAAATAATCTTATAAAGAATGTTACAAGTAAGGTTCTTGTCTGCAGAATAAAGAAGTACTTAATTTTGGCAAAATAAAACCATTGTCTAGAACTGTTTATATAAAAAGACATATTTGAAAGAAGTAGTGTGGATGATTCTCTCCCTGTTGCTGTTTTTATTTCCATAACTACTTTTTTTTCCACTCTAAACTGATGGAAGAGTTTTACAGATACAGGTGTAAGGTTTACAGTGTTTCTGTGTACTTCTGGGGCTGGATTGTCATTTGGTAAAAATTGATATGGACTGAGTTCCTTTAAGATACACTGATTTATTCCAGGCATGGATTTAGTTATGGGAGTATATTATTCCTTTTATACCTGTAGATAACCCCCCTTTTCAAAGAAAATTTCAGATGTCTTTAAGCTGAGTTTTTTAGCTTAGCAAGTGGTCCAACATGAGCAATCTTCTGCACTTCAGATAAATCATTTGCTTGCTGGGAGTTCTTTACATTATTAGCAAGGTGGGGAGGGGAGGGGAAGGGGGAGTGGTTCTTTGTATTATTTAGATCTTTGTCTTAAGAGATTCACAAATTTTTAGGGGGTGCTATAGTTCCTTTCAGCATACCACAGACCAGAGATTATCAAGTCATTCTTTATCGTGGCCCTGCGTGGGCACAAAAGGCAGCATGGTGATCAGGCTCTGAAGACACTAGAATGTCTTACAACCTAAAGCAGAGCGCATGTTCTTTTCTTACTCCTTTTACACCTTTGTCTTTCAAGAATGAGTTTTCAGGTGGTTGACTCAGAAAGCACAGTAAAGATTTATATATGCTTGCTATCATATCATAGATACCCATTTTTACTCTTCAGTTTTATAGGAAACATAAATGAGAGATGATAATTTTCATTTCAAGTAAAGAGTTACCAGCCTGAAAAAGTAAAAGAGGTATTGAAGAAGATAATACTATTTTAAAAATATCTTATCACCATATCCTTAATTTCTTCTGATTTCCAGACATACCTTGAATTCTTGATGCAAGTAAAAATCTGAAGTTGAGTGTCACTTTATCAGACATCATATAGTGGACACCATTCTGGGAAACTTCCCAAGGGCAGGCATTTCTTATTTTAAATAAACTTGATGTAGAAAATATATTTAGATATTTGAAGTAAAGTGTGGGTGTAATATAAGCACCACAGAGATTGCCCTCAGAGGGAGATCGTATTACAAGAAAAGAAAATTAACCTTCTAAAATAAAATGGTGTAGAAGTAAGAATGAGGATGAGAAAGGTATTTGGAGGCTACTTATCCACAAAAATGAGAGTTTACATAGGCAAAATAAGAAAACAGGTTCCTGGATGACAAAAATAATTCCTGGTCTGTCAGAAAAAGACAATATGGGTTGAAATACTAACATTTCCATTTTTCAGCATTTAATAAGCGCATTTCGTCTTGTGTTAAGCCAGGAAACACACACAGATTGTTTCCTTTTAATTCGGTGATACAGGAAGTAAATTTTCTTTTGAAGTTGTATGTGCTCTTGAAGGGGACGGCATGAATTGGAGTCCTTTACTTGGGAAATTCATAAACTTTGATATAGTACATGATCTTCTGAGAAGAACAAGATGTGAAGCGATGGTTATGGAGGCATAAGAGAGTCCAAAGTGCTAGTACTGGAACATCACGCTATAGCATATCCTGACCTGTGTTACATACTGAATCACAGACGGTTGTGAGGGGCTCCACTGTTGAATGCCTGACTGTGTGAATAACTTCTTTACTGTCAGACTGAGGATATTGTTTTTCCTCTGTCGAATGAAGTGAAATATACTGATCAAAAGGTAAACAAAGGGGTTACTGTGGTCAGGGTTTCTTTTGATTGTATTTCCAGGTCATCAGAGTTTTTTCTTACTGTAAAGTTACTGCTGTCAAAGTTGTCCTTACACCAAAACCTTAGTGAAGACTCCTTGTCTGGTTAATTCCGGCATTCAAGATCAGTCAGAGTGCATCCAAGGACAACCTGCACGCAATGGCAGTAGATGGACCCAACTGTGTTAAACCTGTTCTTTGTTTTTATCCCTTTACAATTTAGCTAATGCACATTGTAAGTAATTTGGTGTGCTACATTTTTTTAGGAAGCAGAATAACAATATGTAACGCTGTTGCATTTTAGTAACATATATTTGTCTCTACATGGCCATGTCTTTTTCTTACATGAAAGTTTTTCAGTGTTCTATTCAATATTTTTGGATTTTTGGCAAGGTTAAAATATAAAGATATGTACTCTACAAAAACAGCTGCCATTTAAAATCCGTATTTTTTCTCCTCAGAAAGTGCAAAAGGAAGCTGTTTTGGTTAAGAGCAGAATATCTGCCAAATATAATTCTACATTTTTCTGGATGAAAAAGTGTTCGTTATTGTCAGAAATAGCAACAACCAGCTTGAGAGCTTTTAGACAGTTTTTCAGTCCAGGAGCATATACTCCACAAATGCAGTACTGCTAAATAATTGCTTGCTCCATCATAACTAATGCCTATCAGATTATTACTGTTTCAAACAGCTGATACATATCTTATGTTCTTCTGCAAAATAACTTTATTTTATCTATAAGGTTTTAAGTTGAAACTTGGTGTAGCCATTTTTAGTAACATTTACTTTCTTTGTGGAAAAATGCCCTCTTCAGAACAAAACGGCAAATTTCAGGGAGCAGTGTTGCATTTCACTGACACTTTTTAATGGCCTGTGTGACCTGCAGTGCTGTCTCAAGTGCTAAGAATATCTCAGTCATGCCTGAAGAGAAAAAAAAATGGTACTTTGTTTTTTAACTTCAGTTCACAAACTTGTGTCTAAAAGTTTAATTTCCTGGTTGAATATATTTGCACCTTGGGAAAGTGAAATTTTAGACTTTATTTTTTCAAGAACGAGGACCAATGCTATAGGACTAACTGTAAGGACAAATGCAGCTCTAATTAGTGGTACCAATAGATGCTTCATAAATTACTCTGTTTTTTAATTGATACATTCATAATAGCATTTTATGACCTCTGTTGATGGTTCCAAAATAAACATTTAATAAAGGGAAAAAAACCCCTGCTTGCATTGCATTGAAAAAAATGACAGGTAACTTTTTGTGTGTGTGTTTTATAAGCAAAACCATATGGCTTTCCAGCAGAAACTGCTACAGTGTTTTCTAAGTCTATACTTAGAGCTGTCCACAGCTTCCAGTAAATTTGTAAATTCTAACAGCTTTTTAGATGAAAGGTGAGTTTCCCAGTCTCCTCCGAAGGCCTGTCAACATTTCCATGTTGCTGTGGCTTAACCCAATCATGTATCTGAGTTGGCTTTTTAGTATCTCTGTAGTTCAGAGCAATCTGCAGTGTCATCACAGCTCTTTTCCATTTGATACTTTTGCTAGATAAATTTATGTTAATGTCACACCAATACATGCAGGATTTTGGAGTAAAAACAGACTTACAGTGGTGTTACAAATATTACTGATTTCTCTGAAAAAGAGAATCCAATAAACCAAATATGGTACATAGAAAAAAGAAAACCATTTTGGGGGGGCGGGGGGAACGGGGACAAAAACCACAAAAAAACCCCAACCAAACAACCAAAAACGCTAATATTTTGCCTTGTAATCGGTAGCAGAGGACAAATTGCTGAATATTTGACCTGAGGAGCATGAGTACTGTGAATCCCTTATAGAATCACAGAACAGTTTAGGTTGCAAGGGACCTTAAAGATCATCTAGTTCCAACCGCCCTTTCCTTGCTTTACCTCCTGCCATCCCAATAAATAAGGCAGAAAAGACCTTCACTTACATTCCTGTTCTCAACCTTCCAAAAATAATGTCAGTGGGGAAAAAAAAACCCAAAAAATCACTTGACTGTTTGGCTAATTTCTTTATGGTTTCATCAACAAGGTAATTAAAAACATAAGAGTCAATGTTAAATCCCTCAGGCAACATACGTACTTAATAGTTTTTAAATTTGCAAGACTTTAAAATAGAAAACTTCCTGAACTCATTAATAGAGCCTGCTTTATTCTCTATATTTAAATCACTGACCCATGTCTGGTAAGCTGTGGTGGCTAATGTTGCTTTTCAGAAGCTAATGAGGCCAAAATGCCATTTTAAATGTGAAAGTTTTGTCATCTGCATTGCCTCTGAGTTGTCAGGGCCTTCAAAAAGTGATTTCATCGTATTTATAAATAGCTAGGAGTTCTTAATGCTCCCAGGAATAATTATGGTTATTGAGATGTTATGACTGTAAATGTGGAGATTTTACCTCCCATATGGCTTAATTCCCTCACTACTGTTAAAAGATGAAGCCTAAACACCAAACTACTTTTCTGAGCTCAGCTAAGAGTGAGAAACTTAAAATAACAGCAAGAGTTGTGAGAAACGCATGCTCTATCTGGACAGTCTTTCCTTTTTCCCTTTCCCATTCCCGTCTGCTTTTAGTACCGCTCTGATGCCTTGTCAGTGGGCTTTATCAAACAGGTCTTCTGCCTGTGAAACACTCCTGTCCCTCCTGCGGGGGAGCTGCCACTTAATGCTGCGTACACCATTTGGCCAAGTGTAATCAGAATGTCTGGAAAGTTTGAAATTTCCATTTTCCCTGCTTTATGATGAATTTAATGTTTCTGTGACTTCTGTGGCGGTAGTGGTGCGGTAGTCAGGTAGCAAACTGGTTTTAGATGCATATCTGAACATATGCTTGAAGTGGGTGTATAGAATGGCATGTTTTAAATTTTTAACACGAGATTTATTGTTGTTGTTATTGTTATCATCATCAGATACAGGTTATAGCAACATCTTCCCTGTGTCTTGTTCTTTTAAAAAATAGGTTTTCCCAATACATTTATAAGGTACCAGCATCACTTTCACTAATGAAACCTTGCTATACTTGCAGTATTCTAGATCCATAGTCAATAAATTCATGCATCCTCAATTCTTTGGGAAGGTACTTAATTATGTGAGCTAGTGTACTGTTTCTGTGACCAAAATTGCACTTAGAGTCTGCCTTTGTCTATACTGTAAGTAGACTTTTGTAGAATGTATGATACTTTATCCAGACATTTTTTAAAAGGTTAACAGAGTCCAAGGAAAAGGACTCCTCCTGACAACTATTTGGGAACTTGGTTTTTACTCTTTGCAAAACTTCTGTGACGCACAATAACTGTTGCATCTGTGTAACGCACATGTGTAAGGCACAGTTAAACTCTGGACGTACAGAAGGGAAGCACTTCAAGAGACACAAACTTTCAATGTCCCTCAAACTCTTTGGTTGAGAATACAAAAGGGGAATGTCTGGCATTTCCTACATTTGCAAGTGTTTGGGATGATGCAAAACTGTGCCATCTCCACTGAGCCTTCAGGAGTGTGGCAACCAGGAAAGGACTCCTTAAGGTCCTGTCCTGAAGAACACAGAAGTACCAGAATGAGCCAGGAACTGGGGTGACTTAAACTGTGAGTGGCAGGGTTGAAATAATAAGTAAATTAACCAACTCGTAAACTGATTAAATGATAATGGTAATGCAACAATGAGAGTTTTGCTATAACATTGTAACTTCTTGTAGTTATGGTTTATAAACCCAGTTTGAAAAAAGTCATCTCCTGCCTCACTCTGGGAACAGATCATTTTGATTTGCATCCTCAGAGCTCATCAGGAGACTGGGATTGTTCTGTGTCTCATCTTTCATCCTCTGTTACAGGGGTCCTGGGGGTGGTAGACCTTGGCCAAATCCAACCAATGCCAATTCTGTAAGTAAATATTTCATATATATTAGACATCATCTTACAGTTGGAGAAGTGTTTCTCATCAATACACTGGTAAAAAAAAAATCCACTTCATTCAACAAATAGAATACTGCCTGATCCATATTCTATCCCATAACCCTAATGCAGAGCACACACAGTGCAAAGCTGATCTGAACAGAGAGCTCATTGACCTGCAAATACCCAGCTCTGTTCATAATCACACAACAGCTCTACATCTTTACATCAGGTACAACATTTCCATAACACAAAGGTTATCTTGGGGTGTATTTAAAACACATTTCAATTTTCCTTTAGAGCAAGTGAGATAAGCTAGGTCAATGCTATCTGGCCAGCAAGCTCTACAGAAACCACAGCTTGTTAAGAGACGGCTTAATGTGTGCTCAAATATTTTACATAACAAAAGCATTTTAACTGGGGGATATGGAATCATAGTGCAATTGCTTGCAAGACATCAGACATTTTGATAAACCTTTTATAAAAAAGCAGCGCACTCCATACAATTTCACTGCAAGGAAGAGGAGAGTGTCTGGTATTTCTTCAGAAACACAAAGGTGAAGTTTTCATTTTCATTCAGTGATCATACACCATTAGTAAAAAATGTGTCATTTTTAGCACTTGTGGTTGGACAGGATGGGTCTGGCTTGACAGACTAGCCTGGTTTTTCATTATCTCAATTTTCATTTTTTAATTCTCATACTGATTGGGGAGGGGGCGGGAAGACTTGAAACTCTTTTGCATGGACTCAACTAAAATGAATATTAGGATATTTTTCAGTTTAAGTATTTTCATTGATGAAATTAATTGAAAAGTTCAGTAATAGATGTATTTGTAAAAAGGAGTTGGCTGAGAAGTTGTCTACAATCATGTAACATGCTTATGCTACAACATGATTTTGTATTTTGGTGGTACGGTTACTAAATTCTTACCCCATCCTCCTGTAATACCATTGGTCCGTGCTCCTTCGGAGAGGGTAATTCCAAAGGCTGTCATAAAGAAGGAAACAGGCAACTGTTCACAGGCAGCTGAATTTCTGCAGATGTCCTCTGTACCTAATAACAACAACTGAATTTGAAATGAAAATAAAACACTGTCATTTTAAAAGAAAAATAATGCAAAGAAACAAAATTAGAATCTTCCAGGGTGAAAGAGAGGAGTTGTTTTTCCTTTCATGGTCAAGATTTTAATCAAGATTAAATATATATGAGAACATACATATTCAGTCCATGCTTGGGATGACTGAAGTCTTACTCACTTAAATCAAGTATGTGCTGTCCAAGTTTATAGCCTTAAAAACCTATTATCTTAATAATGTTGTAGCTTAACCTTTTATTATGGACTGCAGGTCTTTACAGACCTTATTGAGGCTTCCGCAATAAGAATAAGACTTTTGTAGTAGAGACAAGAACTGGGTTGGTATTAGACCTTGCAATTTGGTGTCTTAAAAAAGTGGTGCAGGCTGTTAAAAATGCAGGCCTCACTTATGAAACAACGGAGAGCAGATATCAGACCTCAGCCTACAGACATTTAAATATCTGAGTTATGTTTTTCATATTAATTTCATTAGAATGGCTAACAGGGCACAGTAATCTTAAATGCAAACATTTTTAATTGAAATATAGGGTATTCAATTTGGGTGGTGTCTATTGCTAGTTTTGGACTTGAATATACTTAAAAGGACAAGTTGTTGAAAAGTTGTTTGTTTTGGCAACTATAGCATTTTTCTGTGATCATTAACTCTGTCTTTGAAATAAATTAAACATAGAAGTGTTAACCTACAGCTGTACATAAATGTATGTATGGACTCCGTCTCAGTGCAGGAGAAATTACTGTTTTGTTTCTGTCGATATTACAGATACCTTATTCTTCAGCATCTCCTGGCAACTATGTAGTAAGTACACTTGCATGTGTTTGCTTATTAGAATAGATGTTATCTTTTGTTTAGGCAAGGAAATAGCTGTCCAGATGTTAAGAAGAACCCTTGTGTATTGGTTGAGAACTGAACATCTGATCTGCACTTTTAGTTTTTTTTCTGCCATTGACAGTGCATATGTTGATGTTCATTACTAGAATCATTATCAGTCTGGTCAAAATTTCCCTGAGTGCTATTTTACTTCAGCAAACATTTATACAACCAATACAATATGTTGTCTTCAATAACAAAGGACAAAAAAATCCCAGTTTTCTTGGTAACACAATGTTGTGTGTGAGTTTCTGAACTTCTTCAGGGGAAAAAAAATAAAAAACAAAAACAAAAACAAAAAAATTGAAGATTAGAACAAGCTTTTATCTCCCCAGAGATATACAAATGGCTTCTTATAGCTAACGTTCTAAGGGAAATTTTTATTCTTGTTATTACCTTCTGAAGACTTCACAATTCTTTTTTTTCTCCATAGTCTATTATGTCTTCGTTTTACAGACATTGCCTTGATTTATTATGGATTAGTTGGTAACACTGGTTTTTCTTAGTCTGTACTTTAGAATGAAATAGTTAAAACTTTGTAATAGGCCCAGCATCATTCAGCTGTCATTCAAAAGAACATGAAATGCTAACACTCTCTCTGGAATCTAACAAAAACAATTTACCTATCAACAAGATGTGTTTTCTTGGAGTATATACTGCTGGTTTTTGTCTCTGTCCCAAGAGATTAACTTTGTTTATCCTTTTAGGTTCTTTACTGTTGTTGTTACTGTTGTACTTGGATTATCCATACTTCTGATGTACTCTTCTAAGGCATATTGTTTCATCTATTTTTGTCACATGCTTAGTACTGGTGTCACAGGGTGCCAAGGGAGAACTATAAATATATGTTGGATTCCAAATTTCTGGTGGTCGGTCAGGTTTCAGTAGACCTCTCTTTTGATATTTCATGTTTTATCATCTGAACATTAGACAGCTGCAGGGCATTGGCTTTAACGAGCATAAGACCTGAAGCTATCTCAGAATAGGAGGTTCTTCACCGTAAGGACCACATACCAGTGTTTCTTCATCTGTTTGTGCGACGTAGTTTCTCTTACTTTCAGTTTTCATAACAGACGTGATCCCTCAGAGCTAAACCTGAAGGATGAGTTCAAGGATGGGCTTTTTTTCTTTAGGCAAAAGCAATTTCTTTTGTCCTTTATGGAGATGATTTGCCGTGTAAAAGGTTATGATTCTCGTAAGTGTTCATAACTGTAGTAGTCATTTTGCCACATGTTTAGTGGAAACAGACCAAATCTGCTGATCTCCAAACCAGTTCCTTTCATGCAGAACTTCATAAATTTCTCTCTACTGGGAAGAGGTTTTGTTGGTTTTGCCTTAGACATTAATGATCTTTCAGATTCTCATTTTTTAAGAGAAACTAGAAAAGGAGATACTACAGAAAAATACTTTAAAGAAGCAAACCTAAGTAAAATGCAAGTTGTAGTAGAGGTTTCTGTTGGTGTACTCAAACCAATCCAAAGGTCAGGCAGGATAAATGACTTGGACAAAAGAGGGCATCACCATGTTTCAGTGTGTGGAAAGAGAAGCAGTAAGAGTAAAGAGGTGATTTTACCTCTTTCAGTGACTATGATGAGGCTGATGCTGGAGTGTTGTATCTGATTTCCAACACGGAAGGGAAATCAAGAGATACGCAAAGATGCAAGAATGAGACACACAAATGACTGAAGTATGGGAGAAAATGCCTGACCCTCTGGTCAGATGTGCTCTGTGAGCTCCAGCTGTGCCCATGGGAAAGGCTGCTGTCTGATTCGTTGTCCCCACTCTTCTGCTGAAACTTCCCACTCCTTCAGGTGCCACTGGAATTTCTTGGATGAGTGACCCTCTTTGTCCAAAACAACTGAAGTTGATTGAAGCATTTAAAGAACCAGGTCCTTGCTGACGCATTTCAGGTGACCCAGAATAGGTGGCTGGATGCCGGCAGAAGGAGCTCCAAGCAGAGCTGAGGCTGTCTCTAGCAGAGGGTAGTTATGCAGCAGCTGAGGTGCTGCCAGCGTAAATGCTTGCACGGTGCCCGTCTTGTCTGTGCATGTCTTGTCTGACGCTGAGAGAGCAGTTTTGCTTCGGAAAGGCTCACCACATTTTGGAAAAAGAGCGCATGAACTCCAGCCACACAAACAGCTAAATAAGCAGAACTGGGGGCAGCAGCTTCCGAGAGAGCAAGGGTTTGGGGACAAGCTGTGGTCGGGTGAAGCAGCTTTTTAGCCATAGGATCTACATGCTTTGAAAGCTTAATCTGCTTAGTTTATCACACAGTTTTTGAGAAATAATTTCAAGACATAATAACACATTCTCAGAGTGAAAATAGTTGATAGCAAGAGAAGAAAATCTACAGTGAGATTAATGCAAATTTAATATTAGGTGCAAAAGTTATTAGTGAACATAAGTAACTTTTCTAATAAATGACCAGTTACTGATTTCTGCACCTGATTATATGACACTGAAAAATACCTGTACACCTAAAAAAGTCAAGTTAGTGAGTTTATAGTGCAGAAGTACATGGATAAAGAGCCATAGCTTGTGATGCCTAAGGGGTCATATATATGATCCAAAGGTCCCTTTGAATTTGGAGTCTGTAGCTCTGCAGCAGCAGTGGGGGAATTTCTCACTCCTGAGAGCTGAATGGGCCTTTCGGACAATTTTGGCAAGCCTGATTCTAACAGTTTCGTTTCTGATTCAGCTGTAATTTGGGAGGGGGAGAAAAGCTATATGGCTGCTGGCAGTGTGAAGAAAGTTGTGATTATGCCTTGGTTTTTATAAGCTGCTCTGTGGGTTTCATGGTGGAGCAATCCTTTGTTCCAGCACACTTTATAAAATGCCCTCAGTGACCTTTCTAGTTCACGAGCAAGGGACTGCACAAGATGAAGAACTAGTAGGTGGGGCGGTCTGTAAGGGGACAGAGGTAGATGTATGTTGACTGACGGCAGGGCTGTGCTGCAGCTTCTGGGTAAAAGATTTCTGTTTCATCTACAATTAACTGCGATTTGATCACTGGCAGACATGGATGCTTCTCCCTGCAAGTATTTTACTTGGACAAACCTGCAGAGGAGCGAGATCCATCAGAAAGCTGAAACGTTACTGAGTTTGGTTGTCTGAAAATAGTGTTTGCTAGTATATTATTGCTAAATGTTTTGTAAGATAGGATGTTTTAAGTAGGCCATTGAGAAACTGTTGTTTTAAATCCCAGAGTTCTCTGCCTCCTTCCAAAATATCTCAGTGAATTATAGCAAGTCTCAGCAATGTCCACATAAGCAGACAGGACAACCAAATCTTCATATTAAGTGCTACTGAAAAAATGGTCCTGTCTGGAACAGTGTATCTGTTGTTTTAAAATATAACAAAAACTGTAAAAATATAATGAGTCATATGGCAATGAAAATAATAATCTGTTACCAATCTGTCTATTTTTATTATGGAAAGTCAGTGTTTATTGACTTTTATTGACACAGACATTTTTCCCAAACTGGAATTTGGTAATTTTTTATGTGATTTAAAAATATTTGTGGATCTGCAGACATAGGAAGCAAGAAGTTACAGTTCTCTTCTTACTAACCAATTTGGATGTTTTGAATAAAATCATTGGAGAATTTTTTAAAGAACCTTAAAAAGCTTATTTAACAACCAGAGCTGTTTGTGTACAGTTCTTAGTCATAAACAGATTTGCAACACAGAAATACCTGAAACTAAGAAAATAGATGTTCCTTGGTGTTTTTTGGAGGGGTTTATTTATCTTTGATTTAGCAGTCTAGGCAAGTGATATGACTGTACCCAGCATTATCCCGACTTTTCAAATCAATTTATCATTCATTTGAGAAGAAATTACGTATACAGATGTATACAGATTCTAGGATATTATGCAGACATAATTAAGATGCCTATCGTACTGAGATACCAATTCTGCCTAAGAAAGAATGCTTTCTTAAGGTGATTGGGCTCTTCTCTCCCCAAAGGACATCCCCTTGTTTTGTGCTTAGGAAACATTGGTTCCTTAACCATTGACTGTGTACAGAGTAAAACGAAACAGAAATGCCAGCTGAAGAACCAGTGATAATAAAAGTAGGATGAGGGAATTAAATAGAATTGTCTTAGGCCCTGGTCCAATTATTTCTCTTGTCTGACTCACAGCGTGACACAGAGTTACTGACTAATGGATATTCTTGGGTCTGTATACCTACGTACATCAGAAGTCTGTGCCAGAGCTTGCTGGCCAATTACCTTGTCTTAATCTGTGATGAGCTGTTTCATTAGCTTATCAGAAAATGTGCATGTTTTTACCAGAATAACTCATGACATTCACAATACTGGTTTTGGGGGGGTTTTTTCATTTGTACTGCATCCATTTTTTACTGCAGTATTATTTCCTTTCGTGCTAACTGACGTTTTCTATTCTCTCTAGGGTCCTCCGGGAGGTGGAGGGCCACCAGGAACACCTATCATGCCTAGTCCTGCAGGTATTGAAATGTACTCAAAAATAATAAAAGATAATAACAAGGGATTTTAGGAACTACGCAAATTAATTTCCAGACTTTGATTTTCATAAAGAATCAGATAATGATAAATTATTTGGCTTATACTTTCTGTATCCGTTTTTCCCTTGCGCTTCTGCCCTCTTTCTCTCTCTGCTATATTGCAGAAATACAAAGCATTGTATCTCTGCAGTTCTGAGCAATTCATTTCTCTGGCTTTTGAGCCCATCTTTTCTTGCACAATTGCAGCAATAGCAAGTGAAAACCGAAAGAAAGTGCAGTCTTTATTTTTCTTTGCTTTTGTTGATGTTGTCTGGGACAATTCTACCAGTTTGGAAATCAGGAGATTTCTGAGTCAGGTGAAACTTCCCCTGTAGTATCCTATGTGATAGACCTGACCAACATGTGGCTCTTGAGGGATGTGCTGCATCCCACAGCTATGTCATCTGACTGACAGCAGGATTATGCTAGACTGGTTGCTCTCCTCTGTCTTGTAATGGAGTAGTAAGGCCCCAGAGGAGCCATCGTCATGTCCTACCAGTGATCTGTTCCCAGAACATCAACTGCCCCATTGTTTCCCCAGGTAACGTGGTCTGTGCCTTGCAACTTGGACCCCATGGAGATTTTGGCCATGCAAAAGATCGGCCACATTCCTACTAAGGTGTGAGGGAACATGGAGGAGGATGGGAGATTTCGGAATGGCTCACTAGCTTCTCAAGGCTCAGAGGTGGTCAATTAGATGAAAGCGTTTCCCTCCATTGGTGTTCTCCTGATATGCAGATGGAACTGCAGGGTGTGGAAGATGCTGTCCTCCTCGATGGACATTATCAGAAATCTGCTAAAATGAAACTAATTACAACTTGTGTAACCTACTATTCAGTAGTTACTGCTTTTGGTCAGTATGTAGCTTTGTAACACACTTTCACTAGCTAAGAGGGACCCGTTCACCTCCGTGGTGTTACAGTCCCCTCAGTCCTTAGGTCCTACGTGTTCTTGCTGTCCTCCACAGCACAAGAGGATAGGGAAGTTTTCCTAACTGGCCATGAAAACTTCTTGCACCAATATAGTATCTTCATTAAATACAATTCCAGCACTTTAAAATTGCAACCTGAGGTAAAATATAGGGCTTCCTTGTTCCTATCATTAGTGACAAGCTGGTACTTAAAAGTTAGAGTCGCTTTTAACATGAAACAAACTTAGCCTGCAGTTGTAGATCAGCGCTGCTGTCTGTGAAACTTAAGAAATTGACCACCTGATAATTTCGGTATTTACTTGCCTCTGAGACAAAGCAGCTGCAAGGGTTCCCATATCCCAGCTAGCCCGGATGTATTTTCACGTGAGCCAGCAGAACATGGGGAAGGGCAGGGGTGTGTGTTGAAAAAGGGTCTGGTGGTTGAAGAACTTGTTCTCTACCTCATCAAATGTTTACAGTAACCTTTTATCTGCTAATTTTACTTTGATAACTTTAGGCTAAAAGCTGTTTGTTCTCCTGCTCTTCTTTAAACAGCATATTTGAATGTTGTGGTGATACATAGTGCTCTACCATACAACGGGATTATTTACTCACCGAGGTTAATTAATGCTTAGAAAACTGTCTCAGAAGGATTATGGAATAGACAAAGACCTTGATTTTAACTGCCCAGTGTATGTACACATACATTTCTAAGTGAGGTCAGGCCGCATTCCCAGTTTCAGTGCGTTTCAGTCTGGTCTCAGCTTTCTTACTTTCACTACTTCTGACTCAAAAGTCCCACATCACCTTGTCGTGGAAAAGGAGTTACAGT